TTTGCGTTCTCGATCACTAGAACGTTACTTTTACTAAAGAAACTAATAATAATTTTGTTGTTTGAGAACTTGAATATTCATAATGATGACAGATAAAGAAATCATAATTGGTAAAGGAAAGCTGACAGTGATAAAATGTTGAAATTGTGATAAACTGTTGTAGCGTGGAGTCGAGTCGAAATTGACTATGAACACCGCTACAGAGAAACACGTGCCAAATAAATCCATAAAATCCCGCGGAAGCCAAATATTAGAAGGCAGTTAGTGGACCAAGTCGAGATATATTTGCTGGCGATCTCGTGGTATCGAAAGGATACCGAGATCGTGCCAGGATACAAGCTTGGTTACAGAACGTAACCGAATTTGCGCGAAGTCACAATCAAAGTGTAAGAATAATGGATGTTTTTAGCACAGTTAAACAAAAGCACATTAAAACAGTCACTGGTAAAATTGGTTATTGTTAGGTATGCAGAGGAATATACCAATTATTATCATGTTAAGTCGAATGGTGTCGTTGGACGTTAAATGGACATTTCCTATTGGTCGATATTTATTTCATTTGTTAAATATTGTACAGATGTTGTTTTCTATTTTATGGTACGATGTGGTTTGTTTGTTTGGTATATAAATAGAGTATGTTTGAAATATAACGATTCATATCTCAGGCGGTGACTTGTATCCTGGACTCAACTGGCTGGGCTAGACAGCGAAGCAGGGCCAATCGGGACTCTAAGCCGTTCATTACGTGTTTACGTGTCATTGGTCCGATCGATAAAACGCTGCGCATCTAACCTGCAGTCTCACCCGTTACAACAATTATAATAAAAATTGTTTTCAATAAACCAATCGTGTTCTCGTGATATAAGTGAGTCACTACACTGTAATCAGAGGGATTATAGAAGCTGAAACAAAATAGTTGAGTGTAAAGGGTCTTGCCAAACTGCATCACGAGGCAAACCCTAACTTGGAATCCCGAAGGGAAGTGGAAAAGAGGAAGACCAAAGAACAAATTACGTCGGGAAATAGAAGCAGATATGAAAAAGTTGAATAACAACTGGAAAAAGTTGGCCAGGGCAGGGTTGGATGAAGAGCGCTGGTGGGCGACCTATGCTCCTCCACGAGGAGTAACAGGCGTAAGTAAGTAAAGGATCTGTAGAGAATATAGAAGGGAAAATATAGGTTAAAAATAAGTATATAATTGAGATTATACTGCTTTGAAAATGAATTCGTCGAAAAGTGAACTTTTCCCTGAACTAATATTTCTTAGTTTGCGACTCAGTGGGTATATTCTGTGTAAGATTAGAAATGTATTAAGGTGATGTTCATTAACTTTTAACACAAACATCTGGATTGTTTCGTATTGTCTAGTCACTTGACTACATTGAAAAAAAGGGTTTTTTTAGTCATTAGCGCTGAGTCATGTTGGTAGGTGTAGACTACCTGGTTGGGGACCACGAGATGACAGCAACCGATGGTTAGAGACCCTGAACAACATGGCTCAAAATCGTTTGCAATGGCGCAGGTGCATCCACTCTTTGTGTTCTCCCAAATTCTAATCTTCTGAATTTTTCATGTCCCTTTTTTCCTCTTTCCAAATTTATTTCACTGTATTAAACTCTTTAGTTAACATCTCCAAACCCTAATCTTCCCGATTACTGCTTATACTCTCATTACCTCTACCACTACGGGATTTGAATCGACAACTGCATCTCTGTGCTAATGTGGTGTGGCAACTCGAACTGATGTACGTACGTACGAAGTTCTACGTTGTTACTGACTAACATAGAAAAGAGCTGTTTAATTATACTACAAAGCAAGTAGTAAAGGATATAAAATGGATGATTTAGTTATTTGTGTTATTTTTACTGTTATAAATCTAATCAATAAGTAAGTATTACCAATATGACCAAATTTAGAATCAATACGAGTCAAGTACTTCAAAGCCTATCTAGAATGGATTACAATATACAGAACTAATTATATTGATTTTTAATCAATATAAGATGTACTTAAAACATTGAGCTAAAAGATAATCTCTGTAAAAGTTTAATTCGCACCATCTGATTTCACAGTTAAAGATATTACAACAGAGCTATTCCAACCGAGAGTGATCTGTAAGACTATGTGCTAAATAAAAGTAAGGTTTAATATGTAGCTTCTAATCGATTGCCTCCAACTACCTAATATCAAGTCGGTAATGCATTAAGACTCAAAAAAAATCCATAGGATTTATATTACATGACAAACAAAACAATTATCTTCTTCATTGAGATCATGAACCGACTGATGTTAGAACACCACTGAAAACCTGGAAGCACTGGACGGCCGTTTCGTCCAATTGTCGGACTTCATGACAGTGCGCATCTACGATCCCGCTTGCGGAATTCGAATGCAGGGCCTTCAGTCTCGCGCGCGCGAACGCTTAACCTACTTGACCACTGAGCCGGCATCCAATGGTGTTAATGTCTAACCTCAACTAATCCACGAAGTTGCGCGACCATCCTCCACTTTACTGAGGTAGATGCCTGTTTCTACCCGACACGGATTAGCTCCACTGGTTACAATTATCACCCAAAAAGTTCCCACACTGTATGTTACATTTATTAAACAATCAAAAATCTATTAAGTATTTGTAAAATCAAAAGTCATCTCATCCAATATATAAGTAAAACTACCATTGTTTTTTCAAAGAAAAAAACATAATTAACCTGATTAATGTAATTTGAACAGATCGTTCAAGACACAAATAATAACGATAAGGATGGTAGCACCAATTACTTCATTGGATACCATACGTTTATTTAAAGATGGGAGTTTCAGAAATTTCAATACTTACATAACCACAGTTTATAGTTCTTGAAAATAATCATCATCAACTAACATTATCAGTATTTCTGTCAAACTATTTAATGATAAAGAATATAAGAGCGAACGATTGTTTTTTCGAAAAGTTCATAACTAGTTCATGAATTTTTCACTATGAAGTTATAGTAAAACAATCATGAAAATAAATTTCAGTAACAGTTAATAATCAAATCCATAGTGTGTGTTACATTCTATTCTGAACTCTTTACTTGGATGTACCTGTATCCTAACGTTGATATTTATATTTGAGACTCGAACCCAGAAACCTATTGCTTCAAACGCTAATACATCATCTATCCAAATGAAGTCATATACTTTGTAGTATCTAGGCTGTAAAATTCTGAAGTTCGAATATTTCTAAATTTCAAGCAAAACGTTTGACCAACATACCAAATTAACACTTACTATTTACGACTGATTGACTTAACGGTTTACTACGAGAAGTGATCGTTCCAGATGAATTCCGGATAAAAATTGTTTAGGAATATTTGAGCTACTTACTAGTAATATAAATTGTGGTTTTGAATTTACTACTGCCGGTGAGATGTTAAGTTGGGTAGTAAAACAAGTCGTAAAGTAGAAGTTCGAATCGATTTTTTTCTGGTCAAAATTCAGGTATGGATTTCTTTCATGTAGGTCGCATTAAGCAAATGGTGTCTATAAAAATAATCCGACCAACTCATATGGGATGACGTTTAGTAAAAATGGTGTAGTTTAGGTGGATGATTTTGGTGGAGTTCCATGCTTTGAGCTGGATGATTTAATCGTAAAGCTTTCATAGCCTTTTGTAGACGTTAACATCACGAAAAGCTTGGGATTGTATTGAGCTAGAAAACAATAGACATTTGAAGAGTGACAAAATTGACTAGAGATTTGTGAAAAGCTTATCATTCAAGTCAATCAACAATCGATAGACATCCGAATCACACTTAGATTATCAACCAATTAGAAAAACCATAAAGGATTAAAACGCCATGAACCAAGTCAAGGTACGAGATAGCCAAGGTCGACAGCAGCTAATCGAATTTAATGTTGACAAAATAAGCTGTTATTAAGTTGTGGAGGACTTATGATAGATCTCACTTCTACATGAAGATTCTTTTAATAACTAGAAAGACAATGGAGGCTTCATGAATGAACCGTCTAACCAGAAGAAAACAATTTCACCGTTATTTAATGAAAATCGCACAACGCCACAACATTTATGTTGAAATAAAAAGCTTCGAGTGTGGCGTAAGCAAAACACTGTACGAGTCCATTTGGTAACTGACTGTTGGTTTGAGCCATGTTAATAAATGAAGACTGTCTGCTTAAGATCAGCGTAAATAAATCGGTTAATTGGTGATGTTAAATGACATAGGCTAAAAAAGACCCAGTATTAATCTTAATGTGGTTATATTTTACATTTTCATTATAAATGAGGAGAACTCCCTTAAGTGAAAGAAGCTCATCTAAATGAACTGTATCTTATATCATACACCATTTTTGTTCACTTACTTCTTTGACTGTACTCTCATACATCCATCTCTTGGTTCTTCACAATATCATCTCTCTATTTGTATGATATATACCTCTTTGTGGTGCCCAAAATTCATATGTAGTAAATAAAGAACATTATTTGATATATTCAAGTGAATCTTACCGTCACCCCCAAATACCCAGGTACGGCCGAGAGTTGAGAGAGTCCGCTCTCCCTCTCGAAATGCTCTCACATGGCCACGCGTATATAGCCTCTGCCAGGGAAGTCCTACTCACTGCCTTTTCGTGGCGGGAGTGTTGTTTGCGAAAATGAGAGGACGAAAAGCGAATGTCCAGCGCTTTAACCGGATCCCAAACCAATGGTGCAAATGGGCTCCAGTATCCTGCGGGAACAAATGGTGTATGAACTAACTGTTGGTCACCGGCTTCCATGGGACTGCATCTCCTTACGATGCCCTACTGCCTTGTGGATCAGACCTTCAGGTCCAAGGCTCGGGGAGTGGCCCCCTAAGGAAACCAGCTGCTTCGGTTTGGGCACCCAAGCAGTATCACAGCTCTCACACATATCGAATGAGATTTGTGCGGCGCATATGTATTTGGTGTCTCCTTATACCAATATCTATGTGTTAAAATAAATATAAATAAATAAGAATCTTACCATCAACTTTTTTATTACTTCAAAAGTTAATGTCAACAACTTTAATATGGACATCAAAAGTGGGATCAACTCATACATAAGCACAAACTAACAAATTAAATTAAATCAATATAATAAAGTATGAAAATAACCAACTCTTCATTGAACCCAACACATACACACACACACACAATAGAAAAAGCAACAACAACAACAACAACAAAACAGAAAGAAATCACTTCAAATAAATCAAAGTAGTCATTTAGAGAAAACGAAATTGTCATGAATGATGAAAAGTGAAATGAACAACATAAATACTTATTATTATCACATACAAACACACACACACACCCATGTACAACTAGAACCGTAAGTAACATTTACACTGTGTAGAGTATAAAACCACATGGTTGTTTGTCTCTTAGCCAAATACAATGTAAGAATGAAACAAAATTAATCAAATGAATCACATATAAAACGAAAATAATAATAGTGATGATAATAACTGAAACTACTACTGGAAGTATTATTGCTTAGGAAGAGAAAACATGAAAGACTAATTAGAAAACACCTTACAATTCAGTCAAAATATAACAAATTAACAAGTTATAAAATGAAGTAACAGAGAAAAAAACAAAGTAAAACATGACATCAACACAAACGATGTTAACAGTATGATTGCCATTGTCACAGGGATAGATAGATGGGTAGGTAGGATAGATTTGTTCGGTATTTATTTACTCAGTTACAAAATGAAAATGACGAAATGAAAGATAATCCTTTAAAATATTTGGTAAATAAAGTTCTTTAACTGGTGACAATTTAGCAGAGCGTAATAAAGAAAAAATAGTCAATCTTGAAATGGATTGTAATGATGGAACTTGATCTATAGAGAGGATAGAGAAATATAAACAACACTTTATATTATGATTTAGTAGAAAAAAATGATACGTGAATAACCATATGAATTGATCACAACAAGAAGTTGAGAAAATTAAGTACAGAATGCCTTAGAACAGATTGTACACAATAAATCCATCAAACTTATGTTGTAAGTTGTTGGCCGGACACTATTAGCAACAACGTACTGTGGGAGAGAACAAACCAGATCTCAGCTGAGGAAGAAATCAGGAAGAAGCGCTGGAAGTGGATAGGACACACATTGAGGAAAGCACCCAACTGCGTCACAAGACAAGCCCTCACATGGAATCCCTCAAGGCCAAGGAAAAGAGGAAGACCAAAGAACACATTACGCCGGAAATGGAAATAGACATGAGAAAAATGAACAAGAATTGGATGGAACTAGAAAAGAAGGCCCAGGACAGAGTGGGTTGGAGAATGTTGGTCGGCGGCCTCTGCTCAATTGGGAGTAACAGGCGTAAGTAAGTAAGTAATGTTGTTAGTTAGAAAAACATAAACATATATATTAATATCTGGCAGGAATGTACATTAGCATAAATTTAGAGACCAAATAAAGAATCGAAATGTTTTTGTGCCACAACAGCCGGTCTTCAGATATGTCAAGCAAGGTCTCAAACTATAGACTATAATTCTTTTGGGGAAGTTACAAGTAAGAAGTCTTCACATTTTAATACAACTAAGAAACAATTGATAACTTTGTGAACTAAGATTGTGTTTAACGAAGAACATCCCTTTCCTATAAAGTTACTAAGCAACCCAATATAATGCTTCAAAAGTTAGTGATTGTTGGTCAGGACTGTTAACCCTTCTCTATTTCAAGAAATCTCCTTTTGATATTTCAACTCACTCGATTTAGTGATTAGCCATAAGTGTGGACTTTGGAACACCACTGTAGTGATCACGTTAGACTAAAGTACAAGTACAGCTTTAGCAATCATTAGCAAACAATACCCTGGGACATGATATTAAGAGATAATTTAAGTTTTGGAGAAAGTATGGGTACTTATGAAATTAGAAGCGAAACTTGCTAGTGCCTCATCAATCTTACTGTGCTAATTTGAACTGACAAATTGAACCGGTACATATATGACAGGTTGCATATAGCTGACTGAATTGATAAAGATTAATGTAACTTAGTAACAAAGTACAGACTCATTTAGTCGACCTTGAATCACATTTTTAATGTGTGAGGAGGTTTGGTGATACTCCCCATTTCCTGAAATCAAAACCCATGGGAAACATCCGAATCTGTAACCCAAGCACTGTTGTAAATGCCGATCAATACTTATTTATTTGAACAAATAAACATTGATACAAGGGGGAGTCAAAACACATATGCGCCACACAATAAAAGTGAAACTGTGAAGAGATAGAGAAAGGAAAGTAAGTACAGTAAAAAAACAATGAATAGGAATTCATTTATAAGAGTAAAATAATAGTAGTCATAATGGGAGGAGCAATTCATTTAAGAAAGATATAATCCGATCTCACTGTTATGAAGAACGTAAAGAAAAATTACAGCAGGATTGCCACTGTTCAATGTGTTGCATCATCTCTAACTAGGACCACAACCAGAGAGTTGTGAAGGCCCAACACAACCCAGTCCTGTCAAGTTGTTTACGTACTACGACACTATGTCATGTACTGGCCACCAGTCGCAGCATCGGCAAATAATGTACGATATGGAAGTCGCTGAGACGATATTCGTAGCACATGTCCAAGCCAGAGAAGTTTCTGCTTCAAGATTGCAATACTAGTTGAATTATCATCGCACACGATGCCGAAACTGTGCATTTGTAATACGGTATTACCACTAAATGCCAGCAATCTATTGCAGACAACGATGACTAAACAGAGAGTCACTTAAAATCCTCAACTCGGAAAAGCCAGATTTCATAAGCATAGGGAAAAACTGCTCTCACCGACGCGTTGTAGACCCGACCTTTTACAGTCTGACTAACATCATAAAGCCGCCAAAGGTGGTCCACATTGGTATAAGCCGCTCTGGCTTTCACTATACGTGAAACGATCACATTGCTCACGCCACCACCAACAATTACACAGCTACCCAGATACATAAACTTCTCGATCGCTTTTATCTGCTTACTACCACGAGTCAGAAGAGGTCCAAGGTCCTACCAGTTTTGTAAAAGTACTTCGCACCTAGAAAGTGCAAAGCATATGCCATACCTACCGACACTGATTGCCAGCTGATTAAGTGCGGATTGCATTGCTTTGGTATCATTGCACAGTAAGATAATGTCATCCGAATACTGTGAGTCCAAAAGTCGTTCGCCACGCAACAGGTAGTGAAAATTAAGTATGATTATTTAAAAACATTTAGCTTTCCTTCTCGGTACAGAAATCTCGACCCGAAAATAAATAAGAGGGGACGGGGTTATGAATGTGATGATCTATGGTTAATTGAGAAGCCTCATAACCATTAACATACGGTTTCTGCCAATACAAGATGATATAATCAATTGAAAACTGTAAATCTCCCAGGAACCGACATTAAATTCAATGAGCGCTAACAATTCGATGACGTCGAAAGTAATATTATTCATTGTAAATTGCCAACCAACTCACTTTGTACAGATTTCAATAACTGATAAACTGGACTCGTATTTGGCACATAATCAATTGGAGTACGATTTTCTTTATCTAGAGAAGTCGGAGATGCACCAAATTCTAATAGTAAATATGTTATGTCAACATCATTCAATTTCGCTGCCATATGCAAGGGAGTTGTCAATCGTACTCCACAATTCGGGTCTGCACCTAATAATTAGGAATTATAGTAAAAATTATACAATTATAAACAATGAACTTAAAGTACAAACGTAGTTAATGTTACATATATATATATGGGTTTGAATCCCACCTCCATCACAACCTTATCCCCAAATGTCCTGGTATGGTCGAGGGTGGGGAGAGTCAGCTCTCTCTCTCTCTCTCGAAATCCTCCCACGTGGCCACGTGTATACAACCACTACCAGGGAAGTCCTACCCACTGCCTTATCGCAATCAGGGTGTTGTTTACGAAATCGAGAGGACGAAAAATGAATAACCGGAGCTTTACCCGAGTTGGTGGATGCGGAGGATCCATCCAAGAGAGTCGGAAAACCCTGATTTCAAACCAATCGTGCACATGGGCTCCAGAATCCTAAGGAAACAAATGGCGTATGAACCTATTATTAGTCACCGGCTACCACTGGACTGTATCTCCTTACGTCGCCCCACCGCCTTGTGGATTAGACCTTTAGGTCAAAGGCTCGAGGCGTGGTCCCCTAGGAGAACCACCTGCTTCGGTTTGGGCACCCAGGCAGTATTCCAGCCCCCACACAAACCGAATGACGAAGTGTGGCGAATATCTGTTTGGCGCCTCCTTGTACCTATGTTTATGTTTAAATAATAGAATAATATGTATATAGGTATGATGCCCGAAACGACAGTGGAAACTGCAGCTAAACCATTTCAGAGAACTCACCAACACTAAAAAAATTTACTTGAGATATAAACCTTTACCACATAATAAAACAATGTCAAGGTATGTAAACTAAACATACCTTTAGAAAGTAGAAGGTAAACGCCAGCATAAAATCTCCTTTGGATAGCTATATGTAGTGGACAAAGGCCATTGCGTTCAGGAGAATTTAAACTTGCACCAGCATCTATCAAAACTTTCATTGCATTTATAGATTCTATGAATAAATACAGAATGATGACAAAACTATAAGCTCACCATTCTGTGTGGCATAGATTAACGGAGAACCCCAATAAGATGGTGGATTAACATCAACTTTACTTCTTAATAAAAGAGAAATTATCTCAGCTGATCCGCTTAGAGCTGCATCGCAAATTGGAGTCTGTCCATCAATGTTGGAGGCATTTGCATGAACGCCACTATCTAACAGAAGACGTACAGCTTTAACATTTCCTAATAAACAGGCATGGTGAAGCAACGTATTATTGTCTGCATCACGAGAATGTATATTGAATGTTTGCAAAAGGTTTTGGAGGTCATCACTGTCACCTGACTTAAGGATTCTGATCGCATCAATCATTTGCTTATTTTCAATCCTACATAAGACATTAAATGTAAATGGATTAAGTATGAGGGCTCTGTGAAAACAGATTTCATGAGTCCTTCAGGACAAAAGTATATTAAACAAAAATTGGCCTGCGGAAAAGTAAAAGGAAAAACTTACATTTACAAAGATGTGAATATCATAAGTGTTAAAAGTGAGACTATGTTAAACAAACTTATGATGAGATGTGTCCAAGAGTTGCGGGCAAGCAAATAACGATCAGCTTTTTCATTACAATATAAACTGAGTTTTAGCTAACAGATTAGTCAGGTTTGAATGATCAGTAAAAGGAAGTATGACCTAAGGTTAGTAAGATGATAGTAATTTGCAATCACCTCAAGATGAATGAATGCAGTTAAAACCAAACTCAATTGCAAAGAGGTTCATAAGGTAAGACCTAAAGGAACATGCATTCCAGTCAGTATAAACCAGCCGAATCATCCTGATGGGCAAGCCCAACTAGCCGTAGCAGCTACAGTTGGGTCTATAAAGTATTGCAGTTGCAGCGAGATTAGTTTGAAGTTGGGTGCTCTAAAGCATTAAATCATAACTACAAAAAGATTCGTACCTGTTAAATTACTCTCCATCTGGTTTGAAACAAATACATATTGAAATTAAAAATAAAATCAGGGTTTTATAATTAATACTCATTCTTGCATTCCCAAGTAACTTTACATGCTACATAGCAGAGCAGCAGACTTGCAACATACATGAATACTCTTTTCCAATGCATCTATAACCACTATACGTCGTGGTAGACTTCAAGGTAAATTTCGGAGACATTTCCATGTGGATATTTGCTTCAAAAATCAACGATTACTCTAATTTACATGACTTTAAGAATTGATACTACACTGTTTTACATGATAACCTTGATTGACTAAGCTTGTAAAGAATTATCATATAGCTCCGAAATTATGGTAATGTAGGGTAGGTTATTAACGTAACTGCTATAAATCCATTTTCTTCGCAAGCGCAGACATAAATCACACGAAGTCACGCAGTGTCAACAGAGTCCTTCCAAATACTTCGTGGCGGCTATTTCACCCTGGATTTTCTGCCCACTAAACCGACTTTGACAAATTTTGGGTGTCCAAGCATATAAAACAAAAAAATAAAAAGGAACTTTGTGGAACTAATGTGACGATTTGCGTCTAGCCAGGAGGTGCCTTGTGTGCTAGGAAAGCATAAAGAGCAGTGTGAGTGAGGACAGGAGAAGAGAAGAACACAAGAAAAGGTCAGTCGACAAGCCGGCAAGCCAACAAAATGCACTTTATCAAGGAAAGGAATCGACAAATTCAACATTAACACAAGTATCCGATTAAGACAATCCTGTAATATAAAACGGAAACAGACAATTCAACTTGCTACAAAATAAAAGTCAGAAAAGAACACTTTTGGATAGTTAACAATGTTCAAACAACGAAGAACTCGTTATGCACCTCACTAACCCTCGGTAGCAGACACATTAAGCTTTCCGCCTATGAAACAAATGTTTCAGTCTTCAGTCTTCAGTCTTCAGTAATAAGGATAGTAGGTTGGTGGATTTGTTTTCTTACAGTTTGTTTTCCTGTAAAGGTCCAGCTTCTTCTTGAAAATGTCCGCTGATTGGGCTGATAATAGTTGTTCGGGTAAGGCGTCCCAGTCATCGACCACTCAATGAGAATAACGGAACCCCACACCAAGTTTATTAGATAGCGGTTTCGGAACCTTCTTCATATGTCCTCGAAGATTATTAGCGATGGAGGGAACAGAAAGATACGACATATTAATAACCAAATCGTAATTAAAAATGCGGAATGCCAAAATAAGGTCACCTTGCTTTCTACGATACAATAAGGGGAAAATGTTCAGGCGTTTTAGGCAGTCATCGTAAGATAACTTAGAAAGACCTTACACTGATTTCGTTTTCACGCTCTGAACACGCTCAAGTAAATAAGTATCCATAAAAAGACATGGACCACGTGCCTTGATGCAGCACTCAAGTTGGTACTGAATATTGTCGAAGAAACAGGAGAGTAAATTTCAGTACATAAGAATGTAAAACATGTAATGATTAACCATGAATAGCAAATACAAGCCATTCTCATATGGAAGACTGATAATTTAGAACATGGATTGACAGATAGGACGTTACCTAATTAAGGTTATTAAATGGATAAAGACAGTGAACACTTTTGTTAAAATATACATGCAAATAAATAAGCTTGTATGTTGGTGTCGTGTTTGTGTTCACAGTTGTTATAATCTGTTTATAAATTGTGGATTGTACGACCGTAACTTTGGCTAAAACCCATCTGTCCCAAATTTCACCTTTGAGTATTACGTTCGTAACGCTGAAAAAAAAAGTGAAGATGCCACAGGCATTCGGAGTTTGACAACGCAATGCGACCGACTGTTACAGCCATGCAGAATGTAGTGGTAAACAAAGCCCCAAATCATCAGTTCTGTAAGTCTTCTACATTGGATGCTGACCACATTAATTTTAATAAACTCACCTAGCTGAAGGTGCTCGGTCATGGATACGCATCACATCACGAGTGCTCAACATTCCCTCCAATCGCTAGCCCGATTAGATCAGTCAACCCTTGATATATTGGTAGCCTATCAAATATATCTTTGAACCTCCTCGCTTTTGTCTTTTGATTTCAGTTGGTGAGTACGATTCATATTAGGTGTTACTGATTAAGGCGTCGTCAAACTCCAAATACCTGTGGCGTCTTCAACAGGAAGTCGTCTGTTTTTGGCAAACGCCAACTTTCAACACGAGGAGATATCGTCTAAGGCAATGACCTCCACTATTGACTCAGTAACAAACTCAACTAGATGGCATTGTCATCACCGATCGCTGGAGGGGCTACACTCGGAACCGTCGCTCATTCTGGAGTACACATTTTGGCTTTGATAACGCTCTTGTTTGAGCACATATTTGTCTGAAAATTACTGAGTGTAGAAAAGCTACAGAAGAAAAACCCATTAGAATCTAACTTAATGATGCAGAAGTTAAGAATATATTTCGGAAACAACTAGAACTGGAGGTGGTCAACTATGAAAAAAATATCCAAAAGCTGTGGAAGCAGCAGTGTCGTCTACTAATAGCTTAAACCAGAAGGTCAGTAAAATCAGTGGATTTTAGCGGCGTTTACTGAACTGATAGATGCAAAGAAACTCAAACTGTCTGAATCTGAACATTATGGGGAGCGGAGACAGCTTAAATATGGGTTCATCGAAGGCCTGCGTAATGATCACGAGCAGTGGTGGGTGGTAAGAGCAGAAGAAATGGAAAAGGCAGCAGCGATAGGTAACAGTAGATAATTGTTTAGGGGTACAGCTATTAAAATTCCGTCTGTTAATGAAACTATCTCGGAAAAAGACTGGACTATTATTCATTCTCAATCCAGGTGACTGAACCGATGGGCACTTTGGGTAACAGTCCATCTGGCCTTCAGCAATACTCCAGTTATCCACTACCTCCAGGAAACTTAAATACCAACTCGATGTGACCTCTCCAACTCTTAGTAAGATTGAGAAGACTATAAGCAATCTAAAGAGAAGGACAGTAGGAAGGCCTGATGGTGATCCAGTGTTAGCCATTAAATTAACTGAGATCTTAGATAGAGTTTCGGAACTAGGCATAATCCCGTCTGACTGGTCGCGATCACTGATGGTCCCAGTTCATAAGGATTATCAGAAAGGAATCAGTTTGGCCAATATAATGTCTAACATACTAGCCTCAATAATAGTTCGATGCCTAGCTAGAGCTCATATAGAGCCAACCCGAGAAAACCACATTGGTTTCAAACCTGGACGTCGATGTATAGACCAAATATTCACCCTTTGGAAGATTCGAAAACATAGACGTATTTTTCGACGTCCTATTGTAGATTTATATCTTGACTCAATTGATCGTGATGTTTTACAAAGGTGCCTGTCATTCAAGGACGTACCAAAGAAGTATGTAAACATTCTACAGGCTCTCCGCCCGAACACTTCTGGCCGGGTCAGAGCCTATAGCAAACTGTCGTCGAAATCGATTACTTCAACTGGTGTTCGTCAGTGTCGTCTTGTTCTTCCATTTTTATGTCACTTTGTCATAAACCTGCCTACTCAAAACGGAAGGGGTTATAAATGTTTAATCCCAAAATAATACACCTTGCTTATTCCATAAATATCCGTCTCTGCCCGTATTTCAGCGTAGGGTTCTTACTCTTCAACACTTTGTACGTGTTGTCTTACATATCTACAATTAAATACATTACTTTGAAATAAGATCTTATAACACAACAATAATGTAACAATTCGCAAGATATGTATCATGTGACAGCTATAAACAGTATCACAGCTTGCCATTTATTGCACCAGATCACATCAGTTCTGCCGCTTCTGACTCCACAGACATTCAGAGCGCGACAAATGTTTCGTCTCTGACGCCTGTTGTTCCTGTTGTTATTGCTCATGCTTCTGGCTGCTTGCGGAATTTGCTTCCCGGTTCGAACTTGGACTTTTCTCTCTAGTTAGCGGGTCTGGGACGCATCAGAATGGCTAGCCTATTGGTCCTTGGTCACAGAGTCTTGTTCCGTTCGCAGACTAGGTGAACTCGTAATCCCTTCAAACATAGCAATTAGCACATCAGCTCGACTACTAATAATCGTAGGAATGAAGACACTTGAGTAACTACATTGGAATACAATTTGCTATTGCACATTATTACAAGGTGCAAACGAATATAGGAAGCTTAGTAAAAATGGCGAATATTTTTGATGTACAATATAAGATTCTGCAACCTTATACAAACGAAGTGACACCAGAGCCAGAGCTAATGGAGTTAAAGGATCAAGAAAACAGCGTTATGGTTAAAAATCTAAGGTAAAGGGTTAAAAAGATTTCAAGTTATTGACCTGAAGTCATGAATTCAATAAATGTCCAGAGATTTCCCTTTTAAAGCCGGTTCAAAAACTCCAAGCTGAATACTACATTCGGTTGGATCTGTAAACCACCAACGTAGATGATCTATGTCGAGCGATTGAGGGTCCACTCAAACCAGCTAACTCCGAGGTCACATTTCGTGGTCAGCCCCTAACGTGGATTACCCCTTCGTCGTATGGCTGCTTTGAAGACCGTATAACACAAAGGATGTTATTACGGAAATATATTAGTAAGAATGGGTACAGAGATGACGGTGCGGCCACCACCCCATGGGCCAGTCCATAGCATAAGATTAACTATCGCGCTTTGGTTGTCCCCGATCCTGAAGAGGATTAGTGAACTTATAGTGGTGTTGATCACAACTACACGATACCCAAAGGTGAACATGCGATAACTGGAAAGATGCATATTGAACGATCAACACGAGAGAAGATTAACAATAGAAAAGACGGGAAGAATTAATGAATTAACTTGGATGACATGGATCAGCCTCGCAGACGTGGTCATTCTGTATAACTTGTCTTTGTTCACATAAAATACATTATCCTACCTTCAGACGAAACGCGTTCTTCAGAAGTACTGAGTTGCTAGATTGAAGCGTTTACGAATTCGCTTAGTATGCGAACGGAACAAAGACTTGTGACCGAAGACCAATAAGCTAGATATTCTGGTGTGTCCCAGACCAGCTAACTAAAGTGAGGCGTCCGTAAGCCAGAAGCACAAGTGAATGATAACAGACACAAATCAAACGTATATATACAGCATAAAACTGTCCTTGGGAAGCGTCGGAAAAACAGCATACCAAAATACACAACGGACCAATAATGCTAATGATTCTCCCAAGTGGAAAATACGACCTGAAGGTGAAAGGAGCGCTTTTCACGCTAAAACAAGGAAATTCAAATTTCCAAAATAAAATTACAGAACTAGGGCATTTATCAACTGAGTTCTGAGGATCTAACTCCCCCCAAACGTATCATATTGTTACGATATGATGATTCAGTGTAGACAATTATGTGACTTCCACATAAGATCTTATAATTTAGAGAGTCATATCGTGACCCATCTATAATCGTGGGACTAGGCGTATTATCAGAGCGGTACTAATAACGAAGTAGACCACAAATCTACAAACTGCTGAACATTCGGTAACTCAGTTGCCGGATGTTAAGCTAGGGTACAGTGACATTTGACTGGCCCTATAGGCCATTATATATTTATTACTGTTATTATCCACAAAAATCTTATGGGTACATAAGCGTTGTGAAGAAACTATTTCGGGTTTCTTCAAAAATGCAATAATACACAAGTTTTAATAATGTTAGTATTATATTTGCCGTATTTGAAAAAGAGAATAATAATAATAATAGAATGATAATAAATCAGAGTTTGTGTGGTTCAGAAGAATATTGAAGTGTTTTTTAAGAAGGCAAGGAAGAAAGTAAGGGAACAGAAATGAAGGAAACGTGAAATACGCAAATAGTTTAATAGGCGTGTTCATGAACACAGATCAGGAATGAAGGACTATGTATTTGTCGTCAAATTAACAACACAGTAAA